CTTTCGTGTGATGACGGGACTCGGAAGTTCCGCAAGCTCGATTCCCTCCTTCAAGAAGAGGTCCTGTGTACGTGCTATGCATTCCTCGGCAAGGACGGTGTTGCGGACTTTGGGATGGTTGATCAGGTCATTCGTGACCAATGCGAGTCGAAGAAAGACATGCTGCCGCTGAGCATTGAGGCTTTTCTCGCCAAGCTGCACACGACACATTCGCACTTGCAGAAGGCAGTCCTCACAGAGTTGACATGCTCAGAAAATGTTTGGAAACGTACCCTGACGAGGATCGCCCAGCTTCTGCGCAAACCGAATAGTTGATTTGTTCCGGAACAAAGCCCATTTCAGCCTCCAAGATGTTTGAAAGTTTCTGCGCAGCATTCGTTTCGCTGAAGCACTGGGCCACGCGCACGAGTCGCTGTACTCTAAAAGCGCAGATGAATCTGCAAGTCAGTTGTGCACTGTCTTGCGGGCCATGTGCGAACACACGAGGCAAGGAGTCACAAAATTGGTTTGCAGCCTCCATCTTGTATGGCTGGCGGCTAGATGCTCATGCTTCAGTCCTTCCATCTCTGCTGGAGCAGTAACCAGTCGCAGAGCAGGTCAGGACAGCAGTGCTTGAATGCTCACGGTTTGTGGGTTAAGGCAAGGCCTTAAGGGAGTTGTTGTGAGGCTTTGGAGTTGACTGTTGCAGGCGGCTGTCTGACGAGGAAGGTCAACCGAGACGACCTGGTTTGGGCTTGAACTGGAGTTTTCCTGAATGGTGGTTGACTGTCACTCTGGCATGTGCACCTCCGCCTCCACATTCAAAGCCAAAGCTGAGCAGTTGGACGCTTGCTTCCCCCCCAACGGCTTGACAAAGTCAGGTACTCAGAAGAATCCACACTCCAACAGACTCGACAGCTTCGAAGTAGCAACCCATCCCGCGAGAAACCTGGAAGCAAGGCCATGATCCCAGTGACCGGCATGTCACTGGCTCTAGGCTGCCGCACCTGACCTGGGGATGGAAGGGGTTATGATTTTGCCAGACCTAGGCACAATGACGCAGAGGGGCTTGGGGTAGTTGTGGTCATGCCCTGGACAAGCCATTCTCTTGGAGAAACAGCCTGATTCAGGCCTGGCGACCCTACTGCAGCAGTGCCAAGATGCTGGCGCCTTGAGCCCAGAAACTCCCGAGCAGGGCTCAAACCGAGCAACAAGACTTCGAGAATCCTACTTATCCACATACTCCGCAGACTGCGCCTCAGTCGTTTCAGCAATCACTCCAGGATTTGGGAGACATGGTTTGATTGAATCATCAGGACACTAAGAAAAGGTTCCTGTGATTTGAGCACCCTGGAACGTGGGTTTGTGGGGTCCAGGAACGAACTTCCAGGCAGCAAAGAGATCCATGAATCGGGCAGGCAATGCCCTCTTCATACCCAGGTTCGATGAGTCGAGCCCTTAAAGCCATGCCACCACGACGGCTAAGGCATGGGGCGAAGCGGGCCACGAACGGCTCAATGAGGTGGGCTCTAAGCCGGAGTGCTCGGGTTACCCATGTCAACAGATAGATGCAACCCGGTTCCTTGACATTAAATTCAAAGCTCTGCATGGACCTGGAATACAGGAATGCGCACTCCGACAAAAAGCCCATCAACGTAAGGTGACCTGCATGCCTCGGACTGTTGCACGTTCCCCTGGCAATCCTTGGACGAAGTCATAGTTCCGTTGCCGCACTTGTGGTTCTATGAACCGCTTGGGCAAGGTCGCGCAGCGATTGCTTCACGGTCTGGGCTCCTGGCGCCCTTTGAAACCTCAGTGCCTGGGGTTTGGGGCAGCTTTTAGGGTTTAGGATGCTGGATTCGTGGATGTTTGGATTTGACCTTGTGAGTTTCTGGCTGTTGCAAGCGAGTTGCTGGCCCCTCAAACTTGGAACCCTACCTGGCCCTACCTGACATGCGTCCTGATCACTCCATTGTAAAGCAGTAGTTGCACGAACTACGTATCACAGAAGGAGAAGATTATTCCTAAGATTTGTTTAATGATCCATGTTTGCAATGGCACAGATCTACTGCAAGCCGTGCTCGAAAAGCTTAGGCAAACACCGCGATCAAATCCGGACGATGTCGGAAGCCCCAGTGTTTTGAGTGCAGCTTGTTTGTGAAGTTTCGGCGAGTGCTGACCTTGCGTGGACCCCTTCGGGGAGTTATGCAGGACAGCACCCTGACACTCTCTCGAAGCAGTCAACACACCTTGCAATTGCTTGTTGTTTGGTGTCAGCAGCTGCAGATGCTCTAATCTTGACAGTTCGCCATCGCTCACTCAAGCGCTCACAGGTGTTACTTATGTGCAGGCTTCAATGACTCAGCGTTTAAGCGATGCTTTTTGGTGGCGCTGTACTTCTTTTTTGTTGTTGTTATTTTTACGCTTTGGGTGTTTTCCGAATCTATCTTCTGCGTTTCTTTGCTTGTCGTGTTATGCTTGTTTGTGCTTTTCCGCTTTATGCTTCTCTGCTTTTCCGCCTCGCTGCTTGTCGGCTTCGCTCTTCCGTTCCTCCGCTTTTCTGCTTTTCTGCTGTTCTTTATGCCTTCTGCCTGTGTTCGCTTCTCGATGTTCTGCTTATTTGTGCTTTTGCTTTTCCGCCTGTCCGCTTGGCTACTGTACTTCTTTGCTTTTCCGCTTCCAGGTGGAGCTTCCTGAACATGGGATTAGGCTTTTAGGATCTAACGCTTCTTTGTTGGGGTTTAGGGCATACTACGGGGGCGGCTCAGCGAACTTAGCAAGTAATTAGGTTTGACCAGTATAAGGCTTATGTGACTTGAAGATTCATGGTTGAGGGTTTGGGTAAGCTGTAGGTGGTTGCTTAAGCAGGAATGCACCATGTAGAGTGCGCCCAATCCCCATCCCAGATATTCTCCTCCAAGTCCCGCGATTCTTTGAGGCAGGCGCAGCTAGGGCTTGAAGGATCCACCGTGGTCTTGTTGATGCAGTTGCTTGTCGCATGGTTTCTGATGCGCATTATGACAATTGATCCTGTTCTTGTCGTGATGCTGTTGAGAGGATTAGCATAAACTCGTAGTTTTTGCTTAGTCAGTTCGGTCGGTTTACTACATGGTATCTTGCTCGCATCTTCCGTGACACAGACTCTGCTGTCGAGTTTGAAAATCACCTTGGCAGGAGCTTCCAAGAAAAGTTGGTACAGTTAATGCAGTGACCGTATCGCATATTATGGAGGATACAGGGGTAGTTTTCAGAGCCTCTCGTGCCATCGGCGCGGCCTGTTGAGAACTCTGTGTGGCGAGTAGGGAAGCCAGTTTGGGAATCAGCAGGCACTCAGCATGAGCCTGTCGCCCGAGCTCCACATTGCGCTCCAGCGCATAACCGCTTGCAATAAAAGCGAGCGCTTGGTGATGGTGGTGCGCGACGACCTGATCAAAAGTTTGCAAGCCGGACAGACCGCAGTGGCTTATGCCCACGATGCGTGGATGCAGCTTGAGCAGTTGGGTGCGGACGTGATGTCCATCGGGAGGTT